CACACCTGGGAGCTAGATGGCGCGACCTCTCAGGCTTCCTGGGAGGGCCCCGATGGAGAACTCAGGGCACAGCAGGAGCACAATATGGCGAATTTTGGGGATATCCTGGAAGATACGCTCGTGAGAGAATATGCGATGGGAAGGTTATCAGCTAAATCGCTCTGCACGCTCTGCTTCTATGCGGTCCAGGCTGGTGCGAGGGGCGATGGCTTGCGCAAGCTCATGCTTAACCCATCAAGTGCTTCGGGCAAGTTTCAAAAGCATCTCGACGAGGCTCTTCCTAGGCATCCCCCCGTGGACCTGTGCGACGTGATGACCCCGAGCAAACACAAGGGAAAGCGTCAGGACAGCTATGTTTGAATGAGTGTAACACATGCACACGTACCTCACGCTCACACTCACATACATACATACATACATACATACCTACCTACGGACAGACAGACAGACAGACAGACAGACAGACAGACAGACAGACAGACAGACATATGCATACATACATACATACATACATACATACATACACACACCTACATACACACACACACATACATACATACATACATACATACATACATACATACATATATACATAATTACATGCATACACACATTTAAACTATCATATACATGTGTACATGTATATACAAATAAAGATGTATGCATACATAGTTAGATTCGCACACATATTCGTATATACTGTACATAAACATGTACACATCATACAAACACAAACGACCTGTGAACATTGGGGAGTGTGGGGTGTTATGCCAATGCCAGTATAAAAGATCCGCTACAGGAGATACCTCTACCACTCGCACCACTACACGAATGCTTGACAGCTGAGCTGGAAGCAGACGGCACCAATATCATATCAAGTAACCTGGTAAATACAGAGTGGGCAAAGAACTATAGTGACCACCCTATGAGACACATAGACGGGGACCATCGCCCATGCTACCCAATTGCAATATATTGCGACGGAGTACGCTATACTAAATCAATTGGAGTAGGTAAGAGAGATACGCTGTTGAACTACACAGTACATAACCTTGCGTCTGGCAAACGTCATTTGCTCGGGGTTCACGCTAAATGTACGTTTTGTGATTGCGGGTGTCGCGGATGGTGCTCCACCTTCCCCACTATGAATTTTATCAGCTGGAGCCTGAGTGCAGCCGCGACTGGATTGAGGCCGAACGAACGATGGGATGGCAAACCTTGGGACCCAGGCAGCGTGCAGGCAACAAAACCAACCAAGTTACCAGCAAGGTTTATTCTTGTAGAACTTCGGGGTGATTGGGCCGAGCACGCGAATACGTTCGCCCTGTCGACGTGGCAGGCTCACCATCGGCCATGCTTGTTCTGCCTTTCCCCCAAGCCTAAATTATCTGGATGCTACCGCAATTCCGCCGAGGACGCACCACGTGCACCCCGCAATCTGCGAGGCCCTGAAAAAAAGCCCGCCGCGAGCGCAAATTTTTCATAACTTACACAACGAGCCCAGGGCAGGCGCCGATTTGCTCGTTAAAGCAATGTTGGTGGGTCGCAACGCGCATGGGTCGCTCGCGGGTGGGTCGCGGGTGGGTCGGGGACTCGGTCGCGGGTGAGCCGCGGGCGGCTATAGCAAGAGGGTCGCGGGGTGGGTCGCAGCTGGGTCGCGGCTGGGTCGTGGGGTGGGTCGCGGGTGGATCGCTGGCGGGTCGCGGATGGTCGCGGGAGGGTCGCGGATAGGTCGCGGGCTGGGTCACGGGGAGAACGACAACACACAACAACAAACAACAACACCAACAACAACCACAGCAACAACAACAACAAGAAAGAACAATAAACAACACACAACAACAAACAACAACACCAACCAACAACAACAATCCGCACCGCATAACCTCATTTCAGCCACGCGCCCAAATACAATTAATGACCGTTCGGCCACATGGGGGGGGCGGGTGCGTGAATCGCAGGAAGAACCGATGGGGGAGGACGTGGACGAGGACAAGGACGGTAAGGATTTGAGGAGGGGGCATGGCATATATGTATATATATAATTAAAGAGAGAGGGAGAGAGATTCTATCACCACCTTCGCCCTAACTTTGAGGGCCGCCTATTTGACGTCTCGCACGTGTCCATACATGGGCACGGTTGGGGCGAGGAACTCGAGGATGATGCATATGATAAGGCGTGCAGTCGTAATGAAGTCTGCGTTCGAATTGAGAGTGAACATCAGCGTGGTCTCATTATAGGTTCGGGTGGTTTGAGGTTCGACGACTCGTCCAACAGGAAAGGCATGATCTTACACAATGATGTTAAAGTAGGTGACGTGTGTCTAAAAAGAGGTGATCGGCTGGAGCCTTCCACTGTTTTGCAGAATGTAACTAATATTGCCAGCGTTGAACTACCAGTTGGCATCAAATTTTGGAGGGAACGTGTCGATGCAAGACACCGGAGATTGGATGGAGTGACCAGGAGAAACCCAATTTTCGAGTTACCTGGATGCGCACCGTCCCGCGTTGTTCAGGTGGATGCGTTGCACACGGTATACTTAGGCGTTATACAAGCATGCGTTGGGCTCATTTTGTGGTCAACGCTTGACGCTAACGTGTGGCAGATTCCTGGCCCCCCATCTACAGTTATCAATATAGGAGTTGAAAGGCTGTTTGATGACATGAAAAAATGGTACAGACGAAGCGGTGTTCCTATAGATCGCCAGATTCAGCGTTTACCCTTAGCCGTGCTGGGAAGCACCACCAACCGACAGCTCAAACTCAAGGCAGCCGAAACAGGTGACCTATTGCCATGCGCTGTTGATGTGTGCGTCAGGTTTGGGGAGCAGTTTGAAGCTGGACGGCCAAAACTGTTGGCTGGAGAGGTCCTGCAGGAATACATGCAGCTAGTACGACAATCTCCGAGGATCATGTCAGATGCCGCGTTGCAGCGCCTGGTTGATCTAGCAGTTAGGCATGTGCTTCTCGCGGAGGCAGCTGGCGTGCACCTCGCGCCAAAACATCACATGTTCATGCACCTAAGCATCAGGGCACGGTGGTGCGGGAATCCTCGCACGTACTCGTGTTTTCTAGATGAGTCATTGAATCGTGTATTGGCTGGCCAAGCGTCGGCAGCCCACCGCTTGCGGTGGCAACACGGAGTGTTCATTCGTGCTCGGCTGCTGCCTAGAGTCGAGGACTGCTCAGTTTGGGCCACGCGTTAAATGACATCGGAAGTCGGGATGCCTACCGTGGAAAATCAAGGTCACCCCACCCTCCGCCCCGCCGCCCCGCACACGACCAGCGGGCCATGACGATCGTCATGGCCCGCTGGTCGTGTGCCAACAGATCCTTTCGAACAGAGGCCCCATGCAATATACATACGTAGCCATTTTGGCTCGGCACAATGTCCTCCAGCAGCCAATCGGGCGGAGACTGCCGCACATGGGTCGAGATCGGGAAGGCTCTCATTGAGCCCATGCCGTATGTGATTGACATGGTGAGTTTATGTAGTGGTTTGGAAACGCCGCTCGCAGCTATGAAAGCTCTCGAGATTGAAGTGGACGCATGTACTAGCATGGAGAAGAACATCGGCCTGCGGAACCAGATCCGCGATGTGAACACAGACACGAACAGCATCTACGTCGGCGACACTGTCGGTGATATTATGCAGATGGACCCCAATGACTTGCCGAACGTGCAATTCCTGGTGGCCGACCCACCATTATTCGAGTCGGATTGGTCAAGTGCAGACGCCCAGCCATTCGTCAAATGTGTCACCTGCATCAAGATGCTTGCGCTGCGGGTCAACTCCTTCCTCGTCGCGTTCATGCTTGGAGGCGCTCACAGGAGTCAAGCAGACGAATGTGTGCGATCGTTGGCAGATGCACTGGGTAGTAAATGGGCTATCTATGCAACCACTGTGAACTCGTGTGACCATGGGCTCTCGCAGAACCGAGAGAGGACGAGCTGTGAAAACCAACTGATCCCACCCACATGTCCATACGTCTCCAGGTCTGTCCAGATCTGTCCAGATCTGTCCAAATCTGTCCAGATCTGTCCAGATCTGTCCAGATCTGCCCAGATCTGTCCATATGTGTATGGGCAGTGGGGGGAGGGGATTGCGGTGTGCGTGCGGCGTCCACCCTCAGGACGTTCGTGTGCGGGCGCTTGGGGTTCGCGTTTGCCAGCCCGATGCCGACGCTCCTCCCAGAGAACATCAAGATGCGCCAGCGCACGCTGAGGGACTTCCTCAGCACTGACCACCCAGAGGAGTTCGATAAGCTCACGGCGGCCATGGTGGGCACAGGGAGAAATACACGCATTACATCGATGAGGGTGTGGTTGTTGGTTGTGCATAAAGCGTGGGACTACGAACGGTGAGGATGATGATGCTGATGATGCTGCTGATGATGATGATGAAGCTGACGGCGATAAAGCTGGTGATGCTGATGATGGTGATGATGGTGATGATGATGAGTATGACGATGATGGTGATGATGATGCTGGACCTGATGCTGATGATGATGCTGCTGTTGATGATGATGTGGAGGAGGCGGAGGGATACGAGGAGGATGAGGAGGAGGAGGAGGAGGAGGAGGAAAGGAAGATCGATGAGGAGGAGGAGCTCGGGGATGAGGAGGATGCGAGGACGAGGAGGAGGATGAGGATGAGGATGAGGAGGAGGAGAGGAGGAGGAGGAGGAGAAGAGGAGGAGGAGGAGGAATAGGAGGAGGAGGAGCGGGGGGGGGAAGGTAAGATGAGGGGCAGCAGGAGGAGGAAGAGGAGGATGAGGGAGGAAGGGGGAGGGCGAGGATCGGCGAGGGAGGATCGGGGGAGGTGTATGAGTAGGATGAGGATTATATTATAATATTGGTGACCCTGCAAGACCAAGAACTTGCAGGAGTTCACCAAGTTGACGGAGCTAGCAGTGGATTCGCAGGCCAGGGTCGGAGGAGGAAGGAGAAGAAGGAGAGAGGAACGAGGACGGAGGACTAACCGAACGATAGCGACAAGAGGCGAACCCCGCCGTGGCAGTCTTCGACCTGTCGCTGCGGCCCGACAGCAGAACTGAATCGGTTCGGTCCTCGGCTGCTCCCCCCTATCCGTCCCACCTCTCCATATCCTCTCTCCCCCTAATGCTTGTCTCCCCTCCCTACTCACATCGCCCCATCCCGCTTGTTCCCTCCTCCTTCACTCCAGTCCCCCTCCCCTCTGCCAACCACCTAAATCCTATATAGGATACTCTCGCCTAGCTAAGGTTCGCGTTGACGGCATCCTGCCCACCCTGACCGCCACAGACGAACACCTCTGGCTGATGGGTGTGTGCGACAACATGCCCAAGTACAATAGATTCCTGAGGCCCGAAGAGAGGTGCGCCCTGATGGGCCTCGACCCGTCCGTCCTAGAGCGAGTCGACCCCGACTGCAGGTTGGCAGCCGTGGGTGATGCTATGGCCCTTCCCACGGTGGGGCTTGTGATGGCGTCCCTGTGGTCGGGCACGAAGGAAGACTTAGAGGGCACGCAGCCTGAGCAGGCTATGGTGTGCATTGATTGATCCACGTCGCAGCTGCTTTGACGTAAAACGATGCGAACGAATTGATTTCCCGATGTTGCCCCCCGCCCTCCAAATCTCGCCGCCAAGTCTGGATTCGAATTCGAAATTCTGGTCAGAACGCATTTGCACTGCTAGCCTTGTGGTGGAACGGTTTGGGGAGACATCGGAACATCGATAATATCCCTTTTCCGTATCGCCTCTCCTGCCAGTGGTCTCCATCTGCCTCCTGGTCTCCTCGTTTGTCGCCGCTCCCAGCTGGATCCGAGAATGGAGAAGTTTGGCACAGTTGCGATTGCGGGCCATGTCACCCACAAGACTCCAGAACCAAAGGCAACCACATACAGAAACCAACCAACAAAAAAACACGGCTGCGAGACCTTGGATTCCCCGCGGACCACGCGCAATGTTGGCACACCCCTCACAGATAACGGTAAAGATACATGAGCTAAACTAAAAGGATGGCGTGACACCGAAACAGCATGAGAGAACAGAGCCGATAAGGACGAGGAGGATGCAAAGAAAGGAGGAGAATAAGGACGAGGAGGAGGACGAGCACATGTTAAAGAGGACCAGAACGACGATTCTTACGACCCTGAGGGGGCCCTGCGGTACGAGGAATGAGGAGGAAGATTTCGGTAACAAATCATTTACACCATCATCCCACGATTCCGAAGCCCCCGCTCACGCGTGGACCCGAGGAATCATAGTGAAGGTGTGAATGGCCCCCCAAAGTGCACATTACAACGTCGCAGCGGCACCAACTTAAGTTGGCCTACCCTCGGTCGAACAAGAGCGCCAAGCCTGAAAGTATACTATATATATATATATATATCGAGAAAGATATATGCTAAACAAGAGGGTCGACGTCCTCCTCCTTTTCCTTTTCCGCTTCCTCTTCTTCTTCCTCCTCCTCCTCCTCCTCCTCCTCCTCCTCCACCCCCTCCTACTACTGCTCCTTTTTCTTCCCCTTTTGCTCCTGGTCCTTCCCCTCCCCCTCCTGCTGCGCCCCATCCCCCTCCCTGTTGCTGCTGGGGCTGCTCTCCTCCTCGTCCTCGCTCTCGTCCTCCTCCTCCTCCTCATCCTCCTCCTCCTCCTCCTCGTCCTCGCCCTCGTCCTCCCACTTTTTTATGATTCGGGTGAGTATTGCTCTGGTCCCTCCCCTATACGTGGCTCCGATCTGCGCATGGTCTGATGTATAACCATCGCCAAACGTAATGGTGTGTAGGTGTTATCCCTGTAAGGGCGGGAAGCCCTGACGATCGCGAGAGAAATCAAAGGTGCACTCGGCGAAATTCAAGAATGCAGAAATTCACCCGGCGAAATTGCACGGCATGAAAATTCACCCGGCGAAACCTGCAAATTCACCCGGCGAAAAAAATTCAACGGGCGAAAAAAAATACACCCGGTGAAAAAAAAAATCGCCGACGCTTGCCGGCGGAAAAAATCAGTCGAAAGGCACCCCTGGGTAGGAGAGTTCCAGTTCGGTTCCGGATGCTGCTTGCCGCCGGAATTCCAGCCTTATTTGTTGAGTCGGGCCAGCCGAAACGACGGACCGCAGGCTAGAGCGGTATGCGTAGCATAGCCGTAGCCCACAGTCCTGGCAGAGTTCCAAGGCGGACTTTCCTGCCTAATGCGGCTTTCTGCCAGAACTCCAGCCTTGTTGGTTGAGTCGGACCAGCCGAAACAACGGCCCGCAGGCTAGATGGGTATGCGAAGCATAGCCGTAGCCCGCAGTCCTGGCAGAGCTCCAGTGCGAAAGGCGCCAGCCTATACAGCCAGGGAGACAATTAAAATGCCTAGAGCGTTGAGCATCTTTACCATACTCTGTGCAACCAGCATCAAATAATAACCATGCCTTACTCTACCCCTCTGGCGTGACTGGGGAATCGATCCAAACTTATTGTACCCCCATCAGGCCGGCCCTGGGGCCACCTACTCCAAGAGCTGTACCCTCAGCTCGGGGACGCGCTGGCGGCAATGCTTACCATGTAAGATGGGCGAGAGGAGGGGGTGGAGCGGGCCAGAATTGGGGAGGGGGGGTAGCGGGCGAGAGAAGAGAGGGGGGTAAGGGGGCTGCCTGGGAGAGGGGTACAATCTTACTCTGACGCCCTCAGGCGCGGCAGGGGATTGGAGTTGGCCCCCGCCCGCGCTGGGACACAGGCCCATCCCTATTACTTTTGGCGTGGCTGGGGAGTGGTAGTCGCCCCAGCCCACCCTCGGGCTGCACCCTTACTGTACCCCTTCCGGCCCTGGGGCCACCTACTCCAAGAGCCGTACCCCTCAGCTCGGGGACACACTGGTGGCATTGCCGACCATGTGCGGTGGGAAAGAGGAGAAGTGGAGCGGGCCAGAATTCGGGTGGGGGGAGAGCGGGCGAGAGAGAGAGAGATGTGCTGATGAAGGGGAGGGGGGCAGGGAGGGAAGGCGGGGTAGGAGACGTGCAAGGGCAGGCCTTCCAAGGCCCGAATTATGCCTGTGTCGCCCAGGGGGCCTAGCCCAGGGGGGCAATGCGGTGGTGCTCATCGGGGGCTTGGCAAACAAGCCCCCTTACAGGCGCCCCGTGCGTCCACCGCAGTCTCCCCCCCCATGGCTGCAGCCTCCCGTCGGCACGGGGGGCGAAGGAGGAGGAGGAGAAGGAG